CAAGAATTGTGACAACTCAGCATCACACATAATGGGATGCAGATCTTCTATCACGCCAGAACTCACACACACATGCACCCGATCATGACACACACATACACACACACACACACACGCGCACACACACACACACGCGCACACACACACACACACACACGCACACACACACACACACGCACACACACACACACAACCAAACAACGCGTCAGTCCTTGGAGCGGAGGGCCTTGAGACGACTGCGGGTGACCTCAATCAGCGCCTCAAACAGGATGTGCAGTTGGTCTGCATCTCGACGATTCTGCCCATCACACGTGACAAGCAAGCAGGGACGTGCAGGGGATCGGAGATGAGATGGATGTGCTGCAGTGGACAGAATGATGGTGGTGGCAGCAGTCGACACGTTGGGTCATCGCACATGAAGGCTGGGATGTCACACACACACACACACACACACACACACACACACACACACACACACACACACACACACACACACACACACACACACACACACACAAATGTACACAGCCTGCCGACAATCGCAACGCCATGGTATTCGGAACCGTACGTCTGGATTCATGAGTCTGTGGTTGGTGACAATGAGACCAATGTCGCGGAAGAAATCCGCCCAAGTGGTGTACGCGTGCTTGCTAAGCTTGCTGCGCATCACATTGAAACCTGAAGGTGCATGAGCGCAACCGTGTGAGTGATGTACCTGCACACACTTTAAAACACGCAACACACACACACACACTACCCACAACACAACACACAAACAAACAAACAAACACACAAACAAACAAACAAACAAACAAACAAACAAGCAAGCAATGAACGCCTACGTTCACACGCCACTTCACATACTCATTGGCTCTTGCACGAGACTGGCGTTTGGCGCCTTCTCATCAAAGGTGTTGAACACCTTCCGAGCAAGCACGCCGGACGCAAGGCGGTACTCCTACGCGTGGGGCAGCGTGCGTGTGTGTGTGTGCGTGTGTGTGCGTGCGTGTGTGTGTGTGTGTGTGTGTGTGTGTGTGTGTGTGTGTGTGTGTGTGTGTGTGTGCGTGTGTGAGTGTGTGTGTGTGTGTGCGTGTGTGTGCGTGTGTTGCAAGTGAGAGTCACGAGACAGTGATGAAAGAAACACAGAACACAGGCTGTTGCGCCGCACAGCATCCGCAACGACAATCGCAAACAGCGTTCGCCTTCCTCAAATACACGTGTCTAACACGAGCTCACCCTGAGTTTGATGAGGGCGCAGTGCATCCACGACTCGTCCACCTGCGTGGTCCGATTGCACGTCGGGCAGATGAAGCCGGGCTGTGTGCAGGACACCAGAACAGCGGTGGTGTTGGCGTGCAAAGAACAAGCATAAGGGAAGCGATGATTGGGATGCGCGATTAATCAATCAGAAAAAGGTGTTGAGCAAACAAGAGCTAGAAGTGGTGGTGATGCACACATGTGAACACACATGTGTATAAACACACACACACCATCGAATGTACACACGCGTGCACACATACACACACACACTCATACACACACACTCATACACACACACGTGCACACCCACACACGCTCTCACACACTCACACACTCTCTCACGAATGTACACACACATACATATAACTTCAGCAAGGAAACAGCTGACACCAAACACACCGCGTGCTCGAAATATGTTTCTGCCGCACACTCGCTGTGGTACATAATCCCGCAAATGTCGCACGCCACAGCCGGCCTGGACCCCCAATGTGCACACAAGCGAAAAACACATGTGCACGCGCACAACCATATTGCATACACACGTATGAGCAGGCGAAGAACCAGCACGTCGGCCCCACCAACCGACTAACCGACCAACCGACCAAACAGCCAGCAAAGTCAGCGCAGTTATTCAATCGACAAAGCCAAGCGGGCAGGCAACGCAAGTGGGTGAACGACTACAGGGACAGCACACAGTGAAACACCAACACCAAGCATATTACAAGAAGCGGCATGGCCAAATCACCAACGCACTGCTCTTTGTCGTAGCGCTTTGCTTCGCCGAGGAGACAGTCATCTGTGCAGTCAGGCGGCGGCGGCTGAACATCGGACGCAAGCGATTTCCGCGCAATCGCAACTGAACGCACATACGCACATACACACACGGCAAAGGTGGTGATGGCCATTGTGGATCACCAGGTGCAGCTGTGAGCAGTCACGTGCACGTCAAACACGCAAACGAGCGCACTCAAACAGTGCACACACACTCTCTCTCACACACCTACCCACTCACACACACACACACAAACACTCACTCACACACGCACTCACACACGCACTCACTCACTCACTCACACACGCGCGCGCGCACGCACACATACGCACACGCACACACCAACGCACTGAGTTTCGATGTGGGGCACTCGAGCTCGGGCCACTTTGAAAAGTGAGCGGTGAATGTTTTCCGTCTGTTCTTCGGGACAGGTACCAACGTGTCACCGCCAGCAGCAGCACCTGCCACTGCCGTCTCTGTCTCCGTCTGCTTTCGTGCTGACGTCTTGGCCTTCTTTGCGGACTGCGGCGTTACCGCCCCCTTTGCTGTTCGCTTCTTCGCGGTCGACCTTGACGGCGCTGCATCTGCTGTCGCGGTGTCTGCTGGTTCCGCATGTGTGGTCGCTGGGGCTGCCGCCTCTTTCCCCGCTCTGGTCGGTGTTGCTTTCTTCTTGGGCGAGGTCTTGCCTGCTGCTGCTGTCGTGGCTGCACCCTTCACGGGGGTTGTCTTCTTGCTGCTCTTCCGTGCTGCCTTTGGGGATGACGCTGCTCCACTGGCCCTTGGCAATGTGGCAGCTTCCCCCGTCTTGGACTTGCGCGCAGCCGCTTTGGACGATGTGCGCTTGCTGCTGCGGCTGCTTTGGTTCTCCAGCGCAATGTACATGTTCAGGTACTCTGACGAGATAAAGTCGGCGCCCTGAATGTGTGTGTGTCGATGCTTGCGCCGGCCAGACTTGCGCAGCTCCTCCGCGCTGAGCAGGCCTTTATCCTTGATGAAGAGGTTGAGGTTGTGGAGCACGTGTGTCCGCACGCCTTCGGAAGCAGGAGTTGCTGGCGCGCCGTTGATCAGGGCCATTGTGTACTTGCACATGTTCCCCCATCGCGGGTGCTGTGTTCGCAGCTGGTTCTCTGCACAGAACCAGTCGAACGCGGCCTCACGCAGGTCCTTCCGCCATTCAAAGAAGGTGCCAATGTCGTCCACTGTCGCCGTGCCATCGGCGGCTTTGTCGAGGACCTTGCGGCACTCTTCTGGGACCATGCTCTCGCTAACGCTGTCAGTAGCGGCAGTGCTGGTGGCATTTGTGGTGGCATTTGTGGTGGCATTCGTGCTGGCATTCGTGCTGGTGTTGGTGTTGGTGTTGGTGTTGGTATTGTCCGCGGCTGATTCATCTGCCTGAGATGGATGTGACGGTGGAGGCCGAATAGCGTTGCTGGCGGTCTTCCTTGCCGTGCGCTTCTGTGGTGCCAGCGCGCTGGCTTTGCTGGCTGCTGGTGTTCGCTGCCTCGCTGTCTTTGCCTTTGTCTTTGCCTTTGTTCCAACTTCCTGATGACTGTCGCTGCCGTCGTCAGTGTTGCTGCCGCTGCCGTCGTCACTGTCGCTACTGCTGCCGTCGTCAGAGCCTGATCCAGAGCTGCCAGAGTAAGATGAGCCCGTGTACGATGAGCCAGACTCAGACCCCGACAACGATGACGACGACTCGTGCCCGGGTGCGCGCTTCGACTGAGCAGTTCTCCTGGGCCCCGACTTGGCGATTGCACCCGCTCTTTGTGCTGGTGTCTTTGCTGTCGCCTTGGCAGCGGGTGCACCTGTTTCCAGCTGCTGTGCATGTTGGTGCTGGTGCGTTGTCTGGGTCTTCACGGCTGGACCATCTTCGTCCTCTTTGTCTTCGTCTTTGTCCTGATCGTTCTCCTCATCGGCGCCCTCTTCTTCGCCCTCTTCCTCGTCATCAACCTCTGCCTCATCGCCGGCCTCTGAATCGACTTCGTAGTACACGTACTCGACAACCTCCTCTTCGGAGCCGCTTGCGTCCCCGTTCTCGGCAGCGTGTGCTGTGCTGCTGGTCACGGCTCGTGAGGACGGTGCCTTCTTCTCCAGCTTGCTGATCTTCTGGAGCACACGCTCCATGCTGTGCTTGAAGGTGTTGTGCAGCTGTGTCTGCTGCTGCAGGTGCTGCTGGCACACGTCCCTTGCCTCCTGCACCAGCTCGGCCAGCACCGCAACTGCCGCGCTGCTCGCTTCACCCATGTTGCTGCTTGCTGCTTGCTTGTTGTCGAGAATGCGGATTTTTGTGGCAGTGTTGTTGTTGTGGTTGTTGCATTTCGCGGCACATGTGTGCGTGTGTGTGTGTGTGTGTGTGTGTGTGTGTGTGTGTGTGCGTGTGTGTGTGTGTGTGTGTGTGCGTGCGTGTGTGTGGACAAAGACAAGAGTCTCAGCGTTGCATGCGACAATGAAAAGGAACACCTCTGCTTGTTGCGGCCTTTATCATTTCACATCACAACAGCAAACACGCACATGTTATGCCGATTAATAATCTCGCCATCCCGTTTTCTCTCTCCCTCCATCCCTCCCGCTCTGGACCTTCTCCTCCCCCCCCCCCCTCTCTCTCTCTCTCGCTATTCCTCGCTATCGCTTGGGCAAGGCTTGCAGGACGGTGGAGAGTTCCGAGAGCAGCTGCACGGTGGTCTGCTGCTGCTGTTGCCTGGCCAGCTCCTGTTGCCGTTCCAGCTCATACCGCCGCCGTCTCTCCTCCCGCTGGGCCCGCCACCGTGCCGTGCGCTCTTCCTCCGTCAGGTCGTCGTCGTCGTCATCGCCCTCGCATTGCCCGCGCGCCTCGGCCTCAAAGTAATCAAACGGCTGCTCACATGCCGCTGCGCTCGGCACGTTACCGGCGTCGTCTACAACAGAGACAACGACCGCCGCGCCCGCCGTTCCCTGGGCTGCGCCCGTGCCAGCGCCAGTGCCGCCGCCAACAACGCCTTCCACATCACCACCATCTCTTGCACCTCTGTCACCGCCGTCCACATGTGGCTGCCAGCGCCACGTGTCCACGCTGGATGCAAGCTGGCCGGCAAGCGCATCCAGCTTTGCCGTGCTTGCACGCAATCCGCTCACGGCCCTGGCCACCTCGCGCCTGGCAGTGCGGCTGTCCCACTGCGCGGCCGTGAACGCCCGCAGGGCTGCGTCGTGCAACTGCTTCACCTGCGCCGCCGCCGTCATGCAGGTGAGCGTCGTGTCTGCGGCAAGGTGCGCATATGCGGTGTATCCACGGACATCATCAACGTGCATGCCTGCCGTTTCGTGGGTGCGGCATCGCATGTGCAAGCGCTGTTGCCGCCACTGTTGCTCCTGTTCCTCCGCTTCGTCCTGTGGCGGTTCGCCCTGCCATATGAGCTCCATGTTGTGGCTCAGCTCCACAGCCCGCGTGACACGCTGTAGCGACTGCATATATGCGAGTGTGTCGCTGTGTGTGATGATGGCATGCACCTTTTCTGCCGCCTCCACCGCAGACACGCACAGAGCTGGTGAACACTGCAGCGCAACTCGCCTGCTCGAATGTGTGCATGTGCGCACATGTGTTTGAGTGAATGTGTGTGTTTGTTGGGGTTGCAGGATGTGAGGTTGGGTGCTCGGGCACGTGGGCGCTTGCATGCAGGGGAAAGTACGAGTTGTGCATAAATCGCTGTCTCCGTTGGATGAAAAGACCGAACAGGCAAAGGCAAACAGACTCTGCAGGTTTGCACGTGGCCATACACCACACACACACACGCACACACCGCAAAAGCTCGGAGAAGTGCATGACTTCGACATCAAACAGCGTCTGTTCATGAATAGCACGTATTGCCCACACCGGTAAGATTAGCTCAGGCATGGTCTCAGTGTAGCACGAAACGCAGACACAAAACGGCAAAGGGACACGCTGCCGGCTTGACCCACTCGCCCACATACACAGATATGGTTTCGCGTGCACGCACACGCACGCACACGCACACACACACACACACAGACACACACACACATATACACACATATACACACATATACACACACACAGACACACACACAGACACACATATACACACACACACAAACACGCACAGGAGCCACCTTGAGTGCGGACAGAGAAGGCGTCGTAGTAGCATCGTGATCGATTCCTGTGGATACACGTGTGCGAGAAGCGGAGCCAGCAAAACAAGCCGAAGGTAAACCGTCACCATGCTCGATGTTCAATGCGAGTCCAACAGAGCAGTTTACAAACCCCAATTTCCACCACGCGTAGGTGTGCACTGCGTACCGAGGCGAGAGAGCGGTTCACTGGCAAGCACACGTGTTGGCTCATCGGCAACCGGGTGCAAGCTGTATGACGCGTGGATGGCGCGGGTGTGTTGGCGCACGCGCACGAGGGAGTGCAGGAGAGCCAACCACAAGCAGTGGCGCAGCGCAACGCACGCCACCACAGCACTGCTACTGCTACTGCTGCTGCTGTCATCATTGTCTGCCGTGCCGGCGGTGGGGTCGCATGCCTCAATCCTGGAGATGGGCGGCATGTGCTCAGCGAGGCCAAAGCCGCGGCGGAGAAGCTCGATGCGCTGCAGCGAGGACAGAGCGCGGTGGCAGGTCATCACAAACGCCTGTCGGTCTTCGAGCAGCTGCTGCAGAAGAGCCAAGGACGAGTGCTCTGGCGCCCGTGCTAGCAGTCGGCGGCAGGCTGAAGTGGTGGTGGCAACCGAGGCGAGTGCTGTGCAGCCAAGCACGGCGGCGGCACCCACAAGAATGCGGCGAGTCGCCCGACTGTTGACGCCAATCCCAGACCACCCAGACGGCAAAGGAGAAGACGAGCGGAGGAGCTGCCATGTGTAGTAGGTAGCTGGTATGGCAGAGACACCGAGGCCCAACACGTACCAACAGCTGCGACCAAAACTTCCAAGCAGCAGCGGCCACCTGAAGCCGCCATTGCGCCCAGCTGTGGCGCCGAGCTGGTGCTCGTGGTCAGGGGAGCCCTTGTCGTCAAACAGCTGCTCGTCCATCTGCAGCAGCAAGAGGGCATCGTCGTCGTGCAAGTGTGGGGAACGCGTGATGCACCAAGCCACACGCTGCACGAGCATGCGTGCTCGAAGCTGCTTCCATGCTTGCCAGTATGAACGCGCGCGTCGTAGCCATGATTGCAGCCAACCCTCAATCGTCAATGAGCGATCTGCATCGTGAGCCCCGCCAAAGCGGAACGATTCCTCGGTGAACCCGCGCGAGTGCTGGTTCTTGTGCTGCTGCTGCTGCTGTTGTTGTTGTTGCTGTTGTTGCTGCTCGTGTGCCCATGAACTGCTTACATGCTCCTCTGCTTCAACGTCAACTTCTCCCACGTCTTGCAAGTAGTGAAAGAGTGGTGAGTTCTGCATTAGAGAGTGTGTGAATGTGTGTGAATGTGTGTGAATGTGTGTGGGGCGGTGTGTGTGGCGATCAGTGCATCTGTACTC